TCACAAGTACGGAGTAAGGCTTGAACGCAAAACCCCAGGATTCCAAGCGCAACAACCCAACCACTAGGCCATCCCTCGCCCTGAAAGCTGAAATATCAGCTGTGCTGCTCCCAACAATGCTTTCGTTTATAGATGTTGTAGCTTGGCCTGTTTTTCAGTGTTGTCCTGTTTTTCTTTGACTAACTGTACGTGTTCTCTTCCTCCTCTGACATGGGAGCTGGCTCGGAGCTCGTCTGCCTGGCTATGAGTTTCCTTGATGGGGATGCCTGTGGAGCTGGTTGACGGTTGCCTTTTGTATCTCTGCTTCTTTATTTATGTCTGCTTCGGTCTCCTCTAACCCCAGACAGCCTCGGCAGATGGCCGCTTGCACTAACCCTGATTCTGCTGGATGTTTCTTCCTATTCAAAAGGAGTTTTCCTCTCCACTGTCTCTACAAGCATGTTTGGTGTGAGGGATTGCTTTCAAGCTAATGAGTTGACGCAATCCGCTGGTTTTCCATAGGAAACTTTGAACCAATCTGACTGTATCAGTTGGTTGAATTGTCTTTTTAAAGTGCCTTGAGATGACGTGCTGTGACTCAGCACTATATAAATAAACTGAATTGAATTATAAAACCCCAATTCACTACAGATGTATCCTCATGGCACTTTACTTACACGATTCAGTCATTATGGTTGAAAATCAGCAGGACACTGCAATTTGCCATAAACTTTTGTATGCCACCAGAGTGAGTTACTTGAATATATGCTTAAAATAGCATATAATATAACTTTAAAAGATATGTTCTAATTTAATATGCTAAATAAAAAATTGAGTTTTTAAATTGTTTTACAGGTGAAGCATTGATTTCAAACACAGTATAGGAGGATAGTGGCATTGCCTCGATGTAGAAAGAGACAAATGCTAGTTAAAAGACCTAATCAGAAGTTGAGCTGTTACAAAGTCCCTCTCTGCACAGCGACCCTCTCTGTTCCATGTTGGACCCTACGCCTGATGCGGACATTGGGTTAACCCCTCTGTGTTACCCAGGTTAATCCTCTGCAGGACAGATGAAGCTCAGGCGGTTTAACAGAAGGATTAGTGTCTGCTCACCGTATCAATGCAGACCGACTGTCATCCATCTAAAGAGTACTGGGTGACACTCAGTGTAGATGTAGATATCTTTTCATTTTGAGTTAAATTATAACTGGAGATGAGTCAATTATTTTTTTTATATTAAAGAATTTCCATGTTGGTGAATCCCAAAGAGAAAAATCCAGTTTATCTTCATAAACAGTCTGTTAACATATTAGAGTGGTTTCTGACATTTTGTTTTCTACAGCAGCATGTGTTTCGCTGTGTGTTGATTTCTTCTACTGACCTGATTTCTGCAGCGTCAGGGTTTTATCTGGAACCTGTTAAACTAAAGATCCTGCAGAGAATCTGCTGCTTCATGCAGTTTCCTTCCCTGATTTGGTATTTCTCAGAGAGTAAACCTCCGACTAGAAGGTGCATTTTAAAAATCTAATAGAAACATGTAATTTGCTTTTAATTTAGTTTAGTTTATTTAGCTGCATATTTTTTACGTAGCTAGTAATCAAAGACAAAATAAGCACCAGAAATTTTTTCTGCAGTTTTTATTTTTCATGCTACTATCCCACGGTGGGTAGAATAGCAGAAAGGTGTAATCAAGTTAGACTAGTACTACTATAATACAGTAGTACTTCTTATTTAAAATAATATCATCAGACAAGAAAATATAAAATTCTGGTATTTAAAAGACTTAAATACAAAATAACCCCTTAAAATAAACCCCTTCTGAAAGTCTTTTTTTTTCCAACAAAAAACAAATACCTAGAACAGGTAAAGTATTGAATGTCTAAATGGTCCTTTGCTTTTTTATACATGAAAATAGATGATGTTATGCTGTTTATCTATTGGATCAACTTTGTTTATGATAGTTTTTAAAGACAATGAACTTTTATCTATTCTGTAAATATCTTTCCACGATTCATGTAGTTACTTTGAACTATTAAGTTATAACTGTTTGTATTTATCATTTTATAACAATAAACCTCATGTTCCTACAATATAGTACTGTTTTTATTGGAATGTCATCGTTGATTCTGCAAAATTATAACCCTACTGGGAAAATGTGTTTAATTAAATATAAATCTGTACATAATGCTGAAGGCTTCAGAGATAGGAGTCAGTATACCACAGTAAAGTGGGAGACATTCCCCCTTTGCTTCACCCTGCATGGGTCCAGGTATATCTGTGAGGTCATCTGCTGAGGGCCTCCATCTGATCAATGACAAAGGCTCCCAACTCACCTGGAAGGAAGTCATTATCCCTCCATTATATGCAGAAGTATTTTAAGCTCCTTCTTGCCACAACCTCATCCAAGCTGATGACAAACATCAAAATCTCTCCATTACAGAAATGTCAATTCAGTCCAATTCAAGCACACATCTCTGATCACAGCAAAATTAAAATGCTGTTGTCTGTCTTCCAGCGTGGAGAAGCTTCATCTTATTGAAAACACGTTTAATAGTCCTGTGAAGAGGATGCTTAGGGTTGTCCACAATGTTCTTCAATTAATGAAGAATAATGCTGAAATCCTCTCCAGAGATTCCAGAGGAACTTTAGAAAGAGGAAATACAGCTTAAAGTAGCAATAAGTTAAAAGGACACCTAGTGTTTAGAATCAGAACAACATCTGCTGTTTTGTCAACATAAAATACCAAATGCTACATTTTGTTTTGGCAACACTGGTGACTCTCATAGGATTATCTCAGGAACCAGGGAGTAAACACTGGCTTCACACATAGAAATACATTCAGTTCAATTCAGTTTATTTATATAGCGCCAATCCACAACACATGTCATCTCAAGGCACTTTACAGTTCACCAGATCATACAGTCAATTTGATTCAAAGTTTTCGATCTAATGAAAACCAGTTGATTGCATCGACTCATTGACTCGAATGCAATCTTTCACACTAAGCATGCTTGTGGAGAGGAAAATCTCCCTTTTAACAGGAAAAAAACCTCCAGCAGAACCATCCACTCCATACTTGTAGGTTTGAAAGGAGAAACACTTGACTAAGAAACTGCAGACATGCAGACTGTTTGTAGGTAATGTACATTCATTCCGCGTGACAGACGAGAAGGGCTTTGGTTAATTTTACAGTGAATTTCTAAATGATTGCTAATTTATTCAGGTTTGGTCAATGGTTCATTTTCAAACCTTATCAACACCATATTTAACTTAATCAGGCAAAAACATATTAGGTTCTAAAGTAAAAACTGTTGTTTGAGCAATAGCTGTCATGTTTATATAATGTACCATCATTTGATTAAGATATAGTGTTTATTTTTTTAAGAATGTGAAAATATTTTGTTATAAGTTTATGGATATTTCCATCGTAATATTTTATTGGTCAAATGTGACAATTATATAGTTTGAACAATAAAGTTTTACTTCATAACAGGATAAAAATGTTAATTTTGTCTGGGAAGGTTTGGCTCAATGCTTTCTTACAAGTTCATGATTCTTTACAAAAAGCTTTCATGCACTTTCCTCTGAATGATACTTCCATGTTTCCAAAGGTAAAGATTTGTAATAAATATTCTTCTGTTTGAATCATTTGGTTACGGTTTAATTTCATCGTCTCTACACTCTAAGACAGACACAGATAATCTCAATGAACACAAAATAAAGTTTATAGATGAGGATTCTGATTCATTAAATGGAAACAACCTGGTTCTATGTATGAGTTTAATTTTTCGACTAAACCTTTGGTAAGAAAAACATTCAGTATTTCACATCGCCATGAAAGATCAGCTGCCTGCTCTTCCTGGCATGATCGTTCAAGTGGAGTCAGACTGAACGAGCAGAAACAACCTGTTTAAGGTAACGTTAGTTTGATTGGATTACAATCCAGTGGAAGCTTAAAACCCCAAACTGTTACCAGGATGTTCTCCTTCAGGATTGTTTCTGCAGCCATGAAGCAACTTACAGTCAAACCATCACTGCTGGTATGATGGCCGTTCCTGAAATGTCCCAGTTTTACAGCAAATGTCACCTTCTAACAGATACAGATGTCACAGATATCTCCATCATGGGGGATGTTGATGTTTTCTAACAAATACAGCAGGCTTTTGTGTTTCTTCTGGACAGCAGTGTCTTGTTTTTTGGGGTTTCTTTGTTTTTCACTGCAGAAGTCTGTCATGGATCTCCCTCATGCCCGGTTCCTCACTTATAATAGAACCCTAACCTTTATGAAGGTGACTAAACAGCTTTCGAGATTATTCTGCATTTTCCTCTAACCAGTTGGCATAATGTTGACCATTCATTGATGTTCATTTATAATCAGTGTTTTTTTTTTCATTTACGTATGATCATATACTGTAAACAACAACATTATGAAAAGGTTCATTTATTTTAGAAACTTAGTCCACTAACTGAAACAGATTATTGACACACTTCCACTTACAGCTAAAAAAAAAGGAAAATGAATTTTTAACACATAGCCTAAATATGGATGCTATGGAAAATGTTTAAAACCCTGCAGACTGTGTATGACACTGTGAGAAGTATGTAATGATTGCATGAGAAGTACCGGTATGTAGTGATTAAAAGGAAAAAAAAAATCAAAATAAAAAAATAATATCTATATATATATATATATATATATATATATATATATATATATATATATATATATATATATATATATATATATATATATATGTAGATATAATTTTTTTATTATATATATATATATATATATATATATATATATATATATATATATATATATATATATATATATATATATATATATAACAAAATAAAAGAAAAATCGTTGTAGAACAATATTCTTCTGTGTGATGAAGAGCAGGATGATTAGCATTGATGATTACATTTCAGTGCTGTACACGGGTGACATCACATCTGATCAGCCAATCACAAAGCTTCCAGAAGCTGTCAGGGCTCAGCACATGATCCATTCTAAACCCTGAGAGGAGTATCAGCTGTGCAGACCTCCTGTGTCTGTGTTTCCTTTAGGCCGTGGTTTAACTCCTCACCTTCTGTATAGGAAACAAGTTTTCCATCACAAGATGGAAGAGGCGAGTTTTCTAGGATAAATCAAAACCAGAGGACTGGAAGATAAAGTGAAGGAGGAGGAGTTTATCTCCTCTGTGTAGCTCTAAGACACTTGATAAGATCAGACACACAGAGGGACCATCTGCAGGATTTTATCTCTACAAACAGACGCAGCTGCTCAGGTGAGAAACACAAGGGTTTATTTTGTGTAGCTATAACAGTTTGTCGTGAGTGCAAGACAGGTTTTATTAAGGTTTAGTTTCCTTTCCATTCCTTTAAATTATTTAGAAAGGTATCTTGCCATGGCAATTATTTCAATTAGCACTCAAGGCTCACCTGATTGATTGTGAATGTTGATGAAAGTACCGGCCGGAATGACATTCTCACATTACTATAACTGAGTCTGGTGGTTTTTATATCAAAGTTTAAAACTTAAAGCAGTACCATGATCATGGCTTTTCTTTGGCACTAAATTTGTATTTGAGCCACAACCAAAAAAAAACTTCAGCTTTAACTTATAGTCACCCTCCAAAAGCTTGAGGCCTAAGTTAAACTCATAATTTAGAGCTCTAGTCTTTTTAGAAACATATCTCCCATGCAGTGGATGGTAAATGCACTGTATTAACAGGAAAAACCTCTGACAACCTGATGCTCCACATGTCTGTTTCCTGATGTGAAATATTTTACTGGATGGATTAGTTTTTGGCTTTCATTGGCTGAGTGTTTTTCACGTTTGCTACTACGTAACCCTTTATTAAAAGACTTTAGGTCATTTCAAAACAGATTAAAGTAGACATTGAAGCTTGTCAAAATAAGAGCCTCTCCTCTTCCTTCAATAATGTGACAGCAGTGTTTTCCTCTGCCTGCAAAGTGGGGAGGTTGCTGTAATAATAATAATAATAATTGAACTTTATTGATATCACAATGGAGAAATTTAGCTCTGCATTTAACCCATCGCCTTTGCAATAAGAGAGCTGCCATCTTGGGGTGCCCTTGGAGAAGTGTGGGGTTAAAGGTCTTCTTCAGAGACCCAGAGTGGCAGTATGTGGGAGCTGGGCTCGAACTCAGAACCTTGGGATTCCAGAGCTAGGCCCTTACCACTAGGTCGCCACTCCCCAACCGTGCAGAAAGAAGGTTCTGGATCAATTTGGTTTGCAATAAGTTTGCATATTCCTGTGCCAACCAGAAGAAAAAAAAACAAACCAATATGGCCAGACCCAAAAAATAATAGTAATAACAGGTTTAAGGCAAAACCATAACATGAAGTTCTTAAGACCTCAGGAAAAACACTAAAGATGTTAAAAATTAAACAAAAAAGCATACTTGAAGCTCACAATAAAAATAGGAAAAAAATAAAATACTAAATGAAGTCAAAGGCTCGAAGGACCCCAAATTACGACCTAAAGGTAAATGATACCAGATTCTGATTCCTGTCACACAGTGATGCTGTCTTATAGGTGAACCAAAGCACTTTCATTTCATCAGACCATGCTCCTTTAAGTCCAAGACAGGCGTCTGCAACCTGCTGCACTGGAGCTGCATGCGGTTCTTTGAACACTTTACAATGGCTCTTAATAATTGCTAAAAATAATTTTAAGAACTAACCAGTGTAGTGTAATCCGAAATGGTGTTTTTTAGAAAGAATATTTGAATAAAGGGCTGCTCAGTGACATCGTGGATAGCACTGCTGCCTTTCAGCAAGAAGGTTGTGAGTTTGAATCCTGGCCCTGGGTCTTTCTGCATGGAGTTTGAATGTTGTCCCTGAGCATGCTTGGGTTCTCTCTGGGTACTCCTGCTTCCTCCCACATTCCAAAAACATGACTTTTAGGTTAATTGGCTTCTCTAAATTCTCCTTAGGTGTGAGTGTCCTGTTTGTCTCTGTGTTACCCTGCTATAACCTGTACAGGGTCTCTTAACGGTGGACAGGTGGAGATAGGCACCAGCACCCCTTGTGACCCCACTTGGGATTAAGTGTGTCAGAAGATGGATGGATATTTGAATAAAATCCTCACAACAGAATGACACTGAAAAGAACAGGAAACATGTTTTCAGGGCTATTTTTTTTTAGATATCTTGGAAATTATGTGTTATGTTAATTTTTCTTTTTACATAAAATAATAGCCCAAAGAAGAAAATCAATGCTTCATCTTTATGAATTGTTTAATGTTTTTTCATTGTTTTCACAAGCTAAAAATGCATATAAACTGTTGGTTGTTCAAAAATTCCTACGGCAGATACTTAACAAAAATAATAGGTTGTGTTTTATTATAAGTTCTGTAATCATTTGTGACTTTAAGTTGGCCAGACTTGCGACAAAATGGCAATTTTGGTTTAAAAGGTTGCCGACCCCTGGTCTAAGAGATTTAAGACTTTGTTGCACAGAATATAGATTAATTTTTCTCATTGTTTCTTTATAGAATAAGTAATCCGTAGTTAAAACAGTCAGGCTGTCTGAGAGCATTTAGCTACAAAGCTGCACCTTTAAAACACTGTTAACTGTATGGCCATGATATGTGGTACTCCTTAAGTCTCTACATTATAAGTGTCTCCCTTGATAGTAATATTTCAGCCAGCTGAAGATCAATGCTCAGCGACAGTGAAAGCTTTGTTACTTTGCACCTTTTTAAAGCCAGAGTGAAAGTATGACACAATATATTTGTGGCTTTTGACACGTTGCGAAAGACCTAAATTCCAGAACATTCCAATATGGGCTCTGTTAGACCCGGAGGATAAATATTAATACAAATAAAATATTGTGCAGGTTATTTTCCCAGTTTCCTTAGCATACCTTTTAAAGAGACAGTAATAAATGGCATTTCTTTCCTCAAAAGCAATACCTCACAATTTCTATCTTTTCTATTTTGCTTAGAAGGTTTACTCAGGATTCATGTTAAGTCATTGAAAATCTACTTAGAAATGCTGGTTCTCTTTAAATTAATTCACGCTTTGTCTTTTCTTTTTATCGGATGCTTTAGAGGGTGAAGGTGAAACAGGATGGCTTTGGCTCTCAAACTGAATGAAGAGCAGATCTAATATCTAGTAGTATATTAGAGATTTGGCAGATGAAGCTATGAAACTCACCCTGATGGAAAGTGCACAGTTTGTGCTTTTTGATCTGTTTCCTAAAGCTCTGCTCCACCACCTGTTTTCAGGCTAATCCTGTTAACTCTAACATGCCTCACCACCTGGCTACCTCAAAATCCTCATTAAACGTTCATCTTCTAAAAAGGTGGTGACCTTGGAAACAGTCATAAGGGGTCTTCAGCATTATTCACACAAAACCAGATCAAACTCTGGCCCTTTTATTTTTCAAGGAAGCTTCAACATGCCGACAGTGAAGAGCAAGAGGAAGAAAGTGAAGAAGGAGGTGATCGAAGTGGAGGAACAGGGTGAAGGTGAGCATGGAGCACCTGCAGCTCCATCTGCACGTCTGCTTTGTTTAACTCAGCAGCATCTGTTCTTTGCCGCTCTGCTGCAGTTGGGATGGAGGTGGAGATGGAGGATATAAGCAACAGGAGTAACTCCGACAACAGAGACCATCTGACCCCAGATTTGCACGACACAGCTCCGCACAAGAAGAAGAAAAAGAAGAAGGCACAAACCATTGGTAGGAACATCTATACCAACTAGAAAGAGGATTCAGCCAATACTTTATAAAACAATAACTAGCAGATGAAGAACTAAAACCACAAAATATTCGCTGTATTTCAGGACAACAAAAAGTAAAGCAAAATAGAGCTGCATGTACAACTAATTTAAAACTGTTTAACCCACACCACTAACTAGTTGTTTCTGGCTAAAATATAAACTAGTTGATGTTTGCAGAAAATAACTCGAGCAGGAGTGGAACATACACTCACCGGCCACTTTATTAGGTACACCTGTCCAACTGCTCGTTAACACTTAATTTCTAAGCAGCCAATCATATGGCGGCAACTCAGTGCATTTAGACATGTAGACATGGTCAAGACAATCTCCTGCAGTTCAAACCGAGCATCAGTATGGGGAAGAAAGGTGATTTGAGTGACTTTGAACGTGGCATGATTGTTGGTGCCAGAAGGGCTGGTCTGAGTATTTCAGAACCTGCTGATCTACTGGGAGTTTCACGCACAACCATCTCTAGGGTTTACAGAGAATGGTCCGAAAAAGAAAAAACATCCAGTGAGTGGCAGTTCTGTGGGCGGAAATACCTTGTTGATGCCAGAGGTCAGAGGAGAATGGCCAGACTGGTTCGAGTTGATAGAAGGGCAACAGTGACTCAAATAACGCACAGTACGTCGAACTTTGAGGTAGATGGGCTACAGCAGCAGAAGACAATAGAAGATTGGAAAAACATTGCCTGGTCTGATGAGTCTCGATTTCTGCTGCGACATTTGGACGGTAGGGTCAGAATTTTGCGTCTACAACATGAAAGCATGGATCCATCCTGCCTTGTATCAACGGTTCAGGCTGATGGTGGTGGTGTCATGGTGTGGGGAATATTTTCTTGGCAGTCTTTGGGCCCCTTGGTACCAATTGAGCATCGTTGCAACGCCACAGCCTACCTGAGTATTGTTGCTGACCATGTCCATCCCTTTATGACCACAATGTACCCAACTTCTGATGGCTACTTTCAGCAGGATAATGCGCCATGTCATAAAGCTGGAATCATCTCGGACTGGTTTCTTGAACATGACAATGAGTTCACTGTACTCAAATGGCCTCCACAGTCACCAGATCTCAATCCAATAGAGCATTCGCTTCATGGATGTGCAGCCGACAAATCTACGGCCACTGTGTGATGCCATCATGTCAATATGGACCAAACTCCCTGAGGAATGCTTCCAGTACCTTGTTGAATCTATGCCACGAAGAATTGAGGCAGTTCTGAGGGCAAAAGAGGGTCCAACCAGTTACTAGCATGGGGTACCTAATAAAGTGGCCGGTGAGTGTATGTTCCACTTTATTAAACCTGGCTCTCAAAAAGAGTAAAATGATTCAATTTATTTCAGTGTATTTATATAGTACCAGTTCACAACATGTCATCTCAAGGCACTTTACAGAGACAATTCAACCAGAGTGTTTCAAAGTTTTCTATCTAAGGAAAACCAGCTGATTGCATTGACTCATTGATTCAAAGGCAATCCCTTCAACTAAGCATGCTTGTAGTGACAGTGGAGAGGAAAAACTCCCTTTTAACAGGAAGAAACCTCCAGCAGAATCTGACTCAGCGTGAGCAGACATCTGCCGAGGCTAACTTCTCTAGAAAAGTAGAAGAGCAGCCACTAAAAACTCCAATGAACAGCTTTTCAATGTTGGTTTCCTTATTTATCAGTTTTATTTAGTTTTTTAATAAAGGCACTGATTTGGTTGGTGAAGTTTGTTATGATGGTGGGTGTGCAGTAGTAACAAATAAAGGTCAATGCATTTTCTTGATGATTGTTTAAATGTTGCATCATTATTAAGATGTTTTGAAAGGGTAGAAAAATACAAGCTTAATGATCCAAAGAAAATATTGAAGAGCATTTTTTGACTGGATTAATAAAGAGGATCCTTCTTCTAATGCATGACTGTGTTGTTTGGATAGACCAGGAAACAGAACACGGGGATGTACCAAACGGGGATATGGCCGAGATGGTCGGGGAAGGAGACGAAATGGCTGTTTCTGTCATCAGGAAGACCAAAAAGAAAAGGTAAGTACCAGATGGGTCAATTAATGGCTTTAGGACTTAAATTATCTGATGATTTAATCTGATGATGTCAGAGAAAGTAAAGTGGGTATTGATCAAAGCAACCAAACTTGTAAATCCGAAAGAAGCAAGGAGATGATCAAAAGGAAAAATTAGGAATAACTATAAAATGTACTGATTCAAAGGCAAATAAGAGGTGAATCCACTCATCTGATGGAAGCACATTTGTTTTAACTAAAGCCATGCAAAAATCGAAATTGAAAAACATAATAAATGAAAGCACAGCAGTATTATATATGCGTAAATTAAATAAGCTGAACTACTGAAAATTGGATTAAATAATAAATATAGAAAAGGATTCAACATTTTGTTTACCAACAACAAAACATCTATATGTTTTTCTTTCCTTCTACACATGTATGTCTGGGGTTGTTATTCTGAACCAAAGCTGCTCTGCTCATCTTCAATACAGAGACTCTTTTCTTTGCCTATGATGTAACGTTTGGGTAGAGGTTTTTGAGGACCCACAGGCAGAGATCAAAAGGCAGAGTTGAGTCTTGCAGAATTGATAGGCAACTGAGGCAGAAATCCAAAAATACTGAGAAGCAAAATACAGATAACTAAAATGTCAGGAAAAACTCACGTGAGGAACCAGAGATGAGGAAGCAACAAAACAGCAAACCAGCACTGAGTGACTGCAGAGGGTGGGGTATATATTAGAAGACTGAACCAAGAAAAGCTAATCAGCAGATATGAGCAGGTGTGGTCGAACTAACAAGAAGGGACCAAGAGAGAAGGAAACAAACACCTGAGGGCAACGAGGAGCAACACAAGAACTAAAGAACTCAGAAACTAAAAATAAACCCAAGTAGAGGGCAGAACTCTGATATATGATCAATGTAATAAAAAACAAAAACAAAACCCTATTGGCTAATTTCAAACTTTTGTTCACCTTTCTTCCTGACAGGAAGGCAAAGACAACAGAGCATTACAGCACAGAGCTGGAAGCTGAAGATGAGGATATCATCACTGATGCTCAGTCCCCCATCCCTCAGCATTCCTTGTTTTCTGCTCCACACGGACACAGTCAGCCGGCCGGCAAAGTTTTTGTGGAGAGGAATCGTGAGTGAATCCATTATAGCCTGAAATAATTGTCTGACATTTTTGAACATAGAACTATATTAATCAACTTGTTTATATTTCATTCATATAAATACACCCTATAGGCTTGGATCTATTATGTTTTTGTTGTTTGTTGAGCCTCCTATCAATCATAATAATAACCAACCCTAGAATACTAACAGCCATTTTTTATATCAAAAAGTGCTGCTACTTTAAGGTTTGCAGGACCCAATTTAAGGTTAAATCCACACTTTCTGCACAAAATACACAGTGCTTTTAGAAAATGTTTTGTAAAGGTTTCCAAATTATGCTTTCAACCATGACAGGGAAAAAGGTAACCGAAACCATTCTGACCTTATGTGAGAACATCCTTTGTAATGTCTCTATGAAATCACCATGACAATGCAGCAGATAGCGTTTCAGGGAGGAGAGAAAGGAGGCCTCTGATTGGTCAATTCAACATCCGCTCTACTACGCCTATTTCCTGTTTGGCACCTTACCAGCTTGTTTTGTTTGTATGACCGCCATTGTGGAAAATGACTCATGAAGATGGACTAGCTACAGGTCCTTCTCAAACATTAGCATATTTTGATAAAGTTAATTATTTTCCATAATGTAATGATCAAACTTGAACATTCATATATTTTAGATTCATTGCACACTAACTGAAATATTTCAGGTCTTTTATTGTCTTAATACGGATGATTTGGGAATACAGCTCATGAATACTCTAAATTCCTATCTCACAAAATTAGCATATCATCCGACCAATAAAAGAAAAGTGTTCTTAATACAAAAAAAAGTCAACCTTCAAATAATTGTGTACAGTTATGCACTCAATACTTGGTCGGGAATGATTGCTACAATGCAGCGTGACATGGAGGCAATCAGCCTGTGGCACTGCTGAGGAGTTATGGAGGCCCAGGATGCTTCGATAGCGGCCTTTAGCTCATCCACAGTGTTGGTTCTCGCATGCCTCAACTTTCTCTTTACAATATCCCACAGATTCTCTATGGGGTTTTGGTCAGGAGAGTTGGCAGGCCAATTGAGCACAGTGATACCATGGTCAGTAAACAATTTCAGGACTGTGAGCAGGTGCCAGGTCGTGCTGAGAAATAAAATCTACATCTCCATACAGTTTTTGAGCAGATGGAAGCATAAGGTCCTCCTAAATCTCCTGATAGCTAGCTGCATTGACCCTAGCCTTGATAAAACACAGTGGATCAACACCAGCAGCTGACATGGCACCCCAGACCATCACTGACTGTGGGTACTTGACACTGGACTTCTGGAATTTTGGCATTTCCTTCTCCCCAGTCTTTCTCTAGACACTGGCACCTTGATTTCCAAATGACATGCAAACTTTGCTTTCATCCGAAAAAAGTACTTTGGACCACTGAGCAACAGTCCAGTGCTGCTTCTCTGTAGGAATGCAGCGACTGTACCCCATTTCCTGCAAACCCCTGTGCACGGTGGCTGTGGATGTTTCTACTCCAGACTCAGTCCACTGCACCCGCAGGTCCCCCAAGGTCTAGAATCAGCCCTTCTCATCAATCTTCCTCAGGGTCCAGTCACCTCTTGTCGTCATGCAGTGTTTTCTGCCACACTTTTTCCTTCTCACACACTTCCCACTGAGGTGCCTTGATACAGCTCTGTGGGAACAGGCTATACGTTCAGAAATATCTTTCTGTGTCATACCCTCTTGCTTGAGGGTGTCAATGATGGCCTTCTGGACAGCATTCAGGTCTGCAATCTTACCCATGATTGGGTTTTTTCTGTGATGAACCAGGCTGGGAGTTTTAAAGGCCTCAGGAATCTTTTGCTGGTGTTTAGTGTGAGTTTGTTGATCCGGATGATTAGGTGCACAGCTCGTTTAGAAAGTGCGCATTGGTTCAGTCGCCATTGTTGTTGAGTGACCTCTGTAACCGGAAGAGAAACATGCCACCCACCACACCTTCAATCCTAGTTGGTCCGTTAGTGTCCCTCTTGCATTGTGGTGTGGAATAACAGAGCAGACCACGCATAAAAATTGGGCATAAATCAAAAATATCATACCTGCGACACAAAGGACCATACACAGCCCTTTAGTCAGTGATTCAGGATGTGGCCTCTGGGTGTGACATGTTGCACGCTCTTCACCACCATTAACCAGATAATTACGTATCTAAACAAAAGACCTTTGTAGCCGCAGCAGCAAACTACTGTGTTTTTCCGCTTCTTCCATTCTTCCATGTCTCCACAAGAGACAAACCATCAGCAAAAGCACATTCTATCCTCCTTCAAGGTCAGGGATCATGATTTAATAATAAGAAACTCCAAAAAACACTGCTGAGCAAAAGAACACATTTACCAAAAATCCTTTTGATGATCTCTAAGACCTTTAGAAAACAGATGCCCAGTAGGTATGTGTTGTTGGGTTTTTTTTTTGTTTGTTTGTTTTTTAGAAGGATACCGGTGAGTGGCTCACTACCATTTCACAGTTATGCTATTGGCAAACAGCAGACCTCTGCTGACCGTTGACATTTTCTTGAATTCTGGGTTAACTGTGTTCGTATCGGACAGACACTCAAAAGGGAAAGAAAAAATGTCTCCAACTCCATGTATAAAGGTTGTTTTTATGATGTTTCCTCTGAGTTTGACGGTAGTTTGCATCCACAGGGCGTTTGCAGGCAGATCGAGTGGAGCAGCTCAGACACTCAGAGCTGACAGATGACTACTTGGATCCCAGGCAGAACTGGACCACAAGGGATGTTGCTTTGAAGGTCCACAGCAGCTTCAGGTTAGCTGATACTGTCAACATGTATGTAATCCATCAACTAAAAAACACAGGCTTTTTTTCATATGACAGGATGTTACTAAGAAGTATAGACACAGCAAAGATAGACCTGTTACTATTGTTGGTTTTGGGACAGAAAAGAAAACAGAGACTGAGCCTTTCTAAGCACTGTGTTTTACACACAAAAAAACTCAAACATTGCTGTGGTTCATTCAATGTTTCTGCCAAAGGCCTCAGTCAGTCAATTAAATTGTCCTGTAAAATTTTAAACATGCAGATAGAGAATTGATCCCACAGAAAAATCAGTTCTATAAACAAATCAAGGCAGTTACAAAATTTACATGCAAATTATTACTCTGCAAATTAAGCCCTTGTTAAATTTTTTCAGCACACTTAGAACCCCAAGTATATTTTCCTGGATTTTTATTTTAAGCACTCAAAAAGAAAAATCTGTCTATTATAATACCAATAGAATTTTACAATGGAATACTAAATGGTGAAGTCATCTTATAACTGGTCTTTTCCGAAGGTTTGCATCCCAACGGTGCCAAGCTGGAATTCACTGAACTCTGTCTGCCTGTAGGCGCTGGATCTCGTAGACCTGTGGTTGTCTTATGGTTAAAACACCTAAAATCAGTTTGTTTTAAACTGCAGCTCATGTTAGACTCCCTCGTCAGGGCCACAGAAAGAGCTTCAAAGGCTTTGCGTTTCTTAAAAGAAGTTTATATATATATATTTATATATATATATATATATATATATGTATATATATATATATATATATATATACATATTTAATTTTTTTTGTATATTTTTTTTACTTTCATTCATAGCACTCTATGATAGGTTATGTACAGTTTCTTCCTGTTGGTCCACCTTAGCAACCAAACAAGGAGTTATCAGTATCACGCCCCACAGTTTTCTCCAGTGGATTTAACATTGTGAGAAAGTCCAGAAGGCTCAGGTAGGGGCATCAACAATGGATCAAAGACCACCTGACAAACAAACCACATTCCAGACCAATCTCATTCCTATCTCCTTCTCCCAAAATTGTTTTTAATACTTGGAATGAAGATTGTCAGTATATTATAAAATTCACTAATTTTCCCTTTAATTGTGTTAAAGAATAACAGAGTATCCTCCTTTTCTGATACCTTTAATCACAGTTTATTTTTCTTGAGGATTTGGTAAAACTGTGAATTTGTGATTTCAAAACGTGTTCATTAGAGATATCAATTTTTAAGCTTAAATCAATAAATTGCCATTCCCACTTATTCCAAATGGGTGGACCCCTTCGTCTATTCCAGTTTGCATGTTTTCAAAAAGGCTTTTTTGGGCTAATGTATAAAACCTTAAACTCAACGCAAATACTGACAATTTCAATTGAAAAAGCTTCCTGGATGGGAAGCAAAATATCTTCAAACTTGAAAACAAAGTCCAGTGGATTGTTTTTCATTTTCTTTTTTGGAATGACTATGACCTGGATGACTGAGAACCTTCAGTAGCTTAAATCAATAAACAATTTTCATCTATTTTAATTTAACAGATCTTTGAATCATTGTAAATAAGAATACATGAACATTATTATTTGTGATTTGATGGTTAAGTCTAGGTTTAAAAAAAAAAAGGGCGAGTATATTGAAGTACACACAGTGATTCCACTTTTTTTCCTACAGTCTTTCCAAGTTTTCAGGGTATTGATTATGCAAAAAAATGTCTATATATTTAATTTCCTTAAAATGATTTACAAATAGAAAAGAAGTGACAATCTGACGTACAAATATCTTTAGTTCAATCTGGACCCGTCCTTTCTCTTTATTAACCATGACACTACATTCCCTAAATAAGCTGTTCAGAAATAATATGGGTAATCTAAGACCCCCTCATTTTTTCAAGCTTCATTAGTCCTTAGAGTAATTTGAGGTAATAATAATGGGTCCAAATAAATCTAAATAATTAACAAACAACTAAAAGAAAATACAATACAAACAAAAATCAAGGAAGCATTTGGAAAAGGAAGGTAGATCTTGGAAGAATATTCATCTTAATTACATTTATTTTGGCCCAAGAGGGTAGAATGGGAGGTTTTCCTTCCATGGGAGGAAAGACAAATTTAGCAAGTCCGACTTGACCTTTAAATATGACTTGACCTTTGTTATTGAAGCCAGTTCTTCTGGTTTCATATTTAAGAAAACAGCATCAGACCTATTGATGTAAATCTTACCTTGGACTTCCAGCATCAGACAGAGTCGTCCTGTCATCTGCAGAAATATTTGGATTACTCTGCAGTCATTGGGTGCATCAAAGCTGGACAAGAAGCTGAGTCTAGAGAGCTGGTTAACCCCTCAGTTAAAATTAAAAACAAATATTGGATCCTGAATTTCAACAAAAAAAGGGCGATGATTGTAGATTTCAGAACAAACAGGAAGAAGATGAATCCTGTTAACCGTTGCTCCTCACCTACTACACTTTAATGTTAAAGTAAATCCACCTGTATATAAGCCATCCGGATTGTACATATGTCACCTCAAACCTCTGTGCTACTACCTTGTATTTTTTTATCTTTTTATTTTTTATTTCTTATTTTTATTTTATTTTGTTTTTCATTGTGTGCAATACATGTGCACTTAATCCTTATTTATCTTGATATACTGTATATACCTAGATATACTGTATATATATATATATATATATATATATATATATATATATATATATATATATATATATATATATATATATTGTTTATTCTTCTTAATGCACCTTTTTCCTCCTTGTTTGCACCTTCTTTAATTACTATGCCAATATGTGACGAGTGAATTTCTCCGCTGTGAAATCAATAAAGCTCATCTAATCTAATCTAACATCATGGAAGAAGAAATAGAGGTGGTAGAGGAGTATAAGTACATTTGTGTTCACCCGCATAACAAACTATACTGAAGATGCAACAACTGTGAAGCCATCTACAAGAAGCTTAGGTCGTTCAGTGTTTGAAGAAAGATGCTACATATTTTCTACAAGTCTTTTGTGGAAATTGTGACCTCTTCTGCTATCCTCATTAGAGCAGATCATGTAACAAAAACCTGTGAATTACTAAAAAATTATTTTTTTCTTTTGGGATTAATAGTGGGTTTTTTTTTACTGAATTGAACTGAATATAATGACATTTAGTTTTATGATTGTTATCATTTTTAACATATTATTGTAATTACTACCTAAAACAAAATGGCTTAGAACTTCCTCTTTCTTTCGTGGCGTCTCAATCTGCTAGTAGAGCCCTCAATCTGAACCAAAGCATGATGTGCATCTTCACATTATTCACAAAAAGTATTTGTAAATCATCTTAATCACAGCCACTTATTTAATGTGCAAAAAAATTATTTTGCATGTGCAATTTAATGCACCTTATTTGGAATCGTAGAATATTAGGCCCATAAAGTACATTAACAGAACCAGGCAATCCAGGCATCCTGCCAATAAATGAAGAATTAGGGGGATATATGATAAATGAGGTGTTTTTATTTCATCTTCAGGGTAGTAGGGCTGTTCTCTCATGGGTTCCTGGCTGGCTTCGCTGTGTGGAATATCATTGTCATGTACGTGCTGGCAGGTGAGCAGATGACCACGCTGCACAACCTGCTACAGCAGTATCACCTTCTGGCCTATCCAGCTCAGTCTCTACTCTACCTGCTGCTGGCCATCAGCACTGTGTCTTCCTTCGACAGGTCTTTGCACAAATTTGGACAAAAAAGTATCCAGAAGTTTACATTTCTGTCTCATAACATTTGAAAATCTGTTTGTGTTGCAGAGTCAACCTGGCTAAGACGTCCATGGCCCTGAGAGGCTTCCTCACTCTGGACCCTGTGGCTGTGGCTTCCTTCTGTGAGTGAGACGAGTCAAAGGAAATGATCTTGCCATTGATAAAGATGGTGGAGAAAATAACCAGCTTTTCATAACATCTCTGTGTGTATTCAGTGTATTTCATAGCCCTGATACTGTCCCTCAGCCAGCAGATGACCAGCGACCGCATCAACCTTTATCCTACTGCCAATGAGACGCTGTGGTGAGAACCAGGGTTGATGTTTATCATACCTTAGTGAAAACTCAGCTGGTCACAACTGAGAACTCTTTTGTAATGATAAAAAAAAATCCAGATGGATCTTAGACATCTTAGCCAGTAAGTATTTACCAGCACCTGTAGCCACTCATGTAATCTAAAAGCAGAAACCTTAAGGTCAGGTCACACCGCCTACATCCAGCTCTCCAACCTTTAATGTAATTTTTTGCTGTCAATGCACAGTTGCAGAGAAACATGTGCATTGACAAGCATATATCATAGCTGCAGGTGGCTGAGCGGGTTTTTGGACCGTAAAGCATATCCAATAAACCATAATGAGCTCCACCTACTTTTTCATATTTATTTATAACAGTTGTGACAATCAACTGTGCCTCAATAAAAACCAATTCACTTATGGATAATACTGAAAAATGAAAGTGAATGAAAGTGACATCTAAAAAAGTTATCTATCAGAAGAAAAACTTTAATTATAACAAAGATGAGGAAATGGCATCGACCAAAACAGATGGTCAACAAGGAAAATCTGCAAAAAAAACCTCAACATACAGGAAAATCTGAACACCTGATCCACAAAAACAAATAAAATACAAAACATTCACTTTGTACCAACCACAGAGCCATAAAGCAACTGTTGGCTTAAAGCTGTAGTTTGCAGACCCCAAATCTAATGGGTGAAAATCACTGTTTGAGTAAAAGCAGAAAGGTAAAAATTAGATTTGGTCTAAGTAGCCAATCAGTTGTGGTTTCTGTCCCAGTGCTTATCACCACAAGATATTTAGGAACCACCAAAGAAAGACGTCTCTTCTCCTTCACTCTTACAGGCCTCCAGGCTCAGAGCAGCAGATCTTGCGGCCGTGGATTGTAGTCAATCTGGTGGTGGCGCTGCTGGTGGGTCTGGCCTGGGCAGTGGTTTCCACACGGCCAGACATTGACTACACAGAGGGTAAGTATGGACAGGATCAAATCTCATAAGAAATACCATTTCCTTCACTACTTTTTTTTGTTTGCTTTTATTAGTAGACTTTCTTGCAAGATAGTCTCACTATGAGAATAAAATGGAAAAAAAAAAATCTTTGGTAAATCTTTGTATATCCAAAAACTCAGCTGGAGTGTGCACATTTTTTTTCCACCTTACTGTATTTAATCTGTTTTCCCCTGATATTTAGGGAAGATTTTCATACTATATAGATTAGTTATAATGGGGCAGCTTTTCTGACCTCAAATAATGAAAAAATATCGGTATGATTATTATTATTGGAAAAGATGTAATATCTGCATCATGTTTGTATGCAAACTGCAAAAGTAGCATGCAAAGTAAATATTACTTTAAAAAAAATACAAACTATTGTTTGAGAAACAGGCTCTCCCTGATGCTCGTACAGGGATTTCCTTACATCCAGAGGTGGGTAGAGTACCCAGAATCCTAGTCAAGTAAGAGTAGCACTACTTCATATTATTTTTATACATGTAAGAGTTAAAAGTAGCTGTCCAAGGAGGTAAAACAGTATTTGGTAAAAATGCTACTCAAGTTCTGAACACTGAGTAGCATCTTATACTATTATTTATGTTATAAAGACAAAAAAATCCGAAGTTATGTACAAATTTTGGTCTTTTAAAGAATATAATAAAAAATTATGACAATAATGTAATAAAAAAATAACAATCAAGGACAATTTTCCAAACCAACTGTCGTTTTTTTTTTTTTTTTTTACCATAAAACCTATGAAATCAGTGTGCTTGAAATGGAAAATATTTAATTCTGTAAACAAGTTTGTTCTTACTTAAGTTACTCAAGTAACCATAACACAGTAAATATAACTAGTTAATATCCACCTCTGCTCACATCATTAGTGTGCATTATTACGGCATTGTTTTCATTGATTTTTATCATAATGAAATATTCTTTTCAACACTAGGTGGCAGTAAGAGTGAGCTTATATCCAGCATGCTACACTGAAAAAGATCCTGCTTTTTATGTGTGTGTGTTTATGCTTGTTTGTGTGAACAGACTTCTTGATGACAATGGAGTTGGAGGGATTCCAGAGAGGAGATGAAAACCTGGACATCCCTGCCTGAAAGCAGTCATGTTAAATATCTGTCAGCTGCTGTATTGGACTAAATAAAAGAGATGGTTATTCCCATCCATCCATCCATCCATCCATCCATCCATCCATCCATCCATCCATCCATCCATCCATCCATCCATCCATCCATCCATCCATCCATCCATCCATCCATCCATCCATTTTCTTACATGCATATGTATGATTTTGTACCGGTATATATGTATCCATTGTTAAATGTTATTTTGTTATATAAATAAATATGTTTATCTACAGTAATGCATGAATTGGTGGCCTTTGACTGCAGGAGAACCCGTCCTACACTTCAACTGGAGCATAAAGACCAGCAATGTGGAGGATGTGCTTATATTTTTACTGTGTGATTTCTGAATCTGAACAGTAAACTAAAAGGTGGGATTTAGTTATCATGGATCTATAGACACTTGCTAGAGTGAACAAATAATAATTCATGTCGAAAAAAGGGTTCAATGCTGCTAATTAATCAAAAACAATAAAAACTTTCGTTACACACAAATGCCAAAGTTAAGAAAAGCAGTTTCTTCTAGGTTTGGTTCAAAAGCTGCACAAATGAAATACCATGAAACAAATCTTGAGACCAGTTTATTGCATGGTGGCATGTTGAAAACTTTATTTTTGCACTTTTCTAACAACATCTATTATTTAAAAAGTCTTCTGACATGCTTTGATTTATAGATATTTGGATACATTTCTCCCAAATCTTTCTGCAACTCGTCTCAGTTTTTATCATTCTTCTGTTTTGTTTTTGTCTTTAAAGTCTCTCTGGTATATAACAATATTTTAACTTCAGAGGTGTTTTGGTCATCTCTACAGTTGGTCATGGCTTTCAGGATCTTATTAGAAGTATTCCAGCTTGCCTTCCGGTTATTTATGATTTAATATCTTGTCAAATTAGGCCTTGATAAATACTGCATCTGTTTACTTAGGCTCTGAGTCAGTTTAGCCATCATAGTTTCTGGAAACATCAACCTCAGACCAGAAGTTGCTTTTGACATTTGCGATATGGCTGAGGGCGGCAGAGCTTAGACTTAGAGGTTTGCATGTCCTCTCGTTGTGGAATGGAGACTTTGCTGTGTTCTGCATGTAAAAGCAAATGTGAAAGTTTCATTTCTGCCAAGTAATACCAACCTAGATTCATTTGTATTTTCAGCTTTGGCAAAAAATTAAAAGTCTATATCTGTAAATTAAATATTAAGTTGAGCTAAAACTCTTTAAGTACGTGCACACATTTGGAGGAGTGGGTGCATGTTTGCTATAGTGAGGGACCTCGAACTGGAGGGACTGCCCAGGTTTCCATTTAAACAACAATGGCTGTCTACACACACAAGTGTTCATCCATATGAAACCTAAAGCTGACCTTTCCAAACATTTCCAAAGTATCGCACGGTGGTGGTGAAATTTCCCACAGCCATGGAATGCAGCACGGAGCATCCAGTGAGCGCGAGCCGCAGCCGTTGGTAGTAAGGACTATGTAAAGATGGCGGAGCTACAGATGCTGCTGGAGGAGGAAATTCCAGCCGGACGCAGAGCTTTACTGGACAGTTATACCAACCTGGAAAGAGTCGCGGAGTACTGCGAAAGCAACTATGTCCAGGTAAGGGAGCGGCTTTAAAAACCCAAAATGATAGTTTATAAAAAACAAAGGAACCCTGTGAGCGTTAGTGTAGAGAGTGGGCGGTGAGAAGGAAAGGAGTGATGGAATGACTGACCGTTATGTTACTGTCAGCAGAAAACAATTCCCTTCTAAATAAAAAATATGATAAGGCTACTTTACTATAAATAGCAACTTTTTTTTTTTGTTGAGTTTTTTTTTTTTTTACTTTTTCCTCGGCATTACAGAGCATTATATTTGAGCCAAACTTATAAATTAAATATGTGACAGCTTTAAGTGTTAAAAGTTTTAATTTACTCTCATTAAGACATCGCATTCTCATTACATCCTAGTCGCATAAAGAGGCTTTTCGTTTTTATGGTATGAAAATGACTTAAAGCGCAGCTTACATGATGTGACTGTTTGGAGATAATTGTTTATATAAAGTCTATTGTCACTCATTATATTGGTGATTATCACCTAAAATGTGTCAATATTTTAAATATAACATGAAAGTTTCTGACTTTCCTAAAATTAAAGGGTATGAATCAGATTGAGATGAAGAATGCCTTAGATCTGTGTGTTTCATAAAGTAAATTCTTGATTAAATCAGGTTATAGTTGGGTGTTTATATGGTGGTCCTAATGTTATGCCATTTTGTGACTGAATAGCCCTGGGAGCATGGACTACTGCAAAGCCCTGAATGTTTGCTCTGGTTTCTGGAAGCAAGATGCTGGCAGCAGATTCTCTAAATCCTGGAAGATGTGAAGTGGAGCCTCTATGGATCAGACCTGATTATTATTACAATTCACAAACATTCAATAGGTTTTATGTTTTAGAGACTTAGACAAACGTTATTGTCATTTTGTTTACACAGAGCGTATACATAACAAAATTTTGTTTATACAGCTTTCGGACAGTGACTAAGCAGCAGTTTAGCAGTGAAATAATAATCTTTTCATTTGTCAAGTGCAGCAGTGGTTAATTGTACACAATGTGGGAGAGAATTGGTGCAAAAAGGCATTGATGTTGAAGGTTCAGAGCAGTGCAAAAATAAATAGATATGGTACCATGTCATGCAAGTATCATGTTATCAGTGTGATGCAGTCTCGATTTGTGACTTGATTGAGGGGTTTTCAATAGTTTATCGCAGGCATCTCCAAAGTCGGTCCTCATTGGCCGCAGTCCTGCAGGTTTTAGAGGTTTCTCAGCTTTAGCACATCTGATTCTGATGATTGCAGTTCAGCACTGAAACAAAAACGATCTAGAAATTAGTAAAAAAAAAACTCTTAAATTAAGTGTATTTATCCTTAGTTTGAGTAGGTAAATGAGATAGTTTGCCAATGATGAGTATTTTTACTCTTAAAATAAGTTATTTAGTTGTAATAAGACAATACAATTGTGTTTTCTTATTTTAAATGTAAATTGCCTTGTTCCATTGGCAAAATGTCTCTTCTATCTCTTCAAGAACAAATGCACTTATTTTAAGAAAAAAATGACTTATCTAGATATGTGAGCAAAAGCCTGTTAATCAGCAATCAATGGAAATCAACTGTGCTGGAGCAGGGAAACCTCTAAATCCTATAGGACAGCAGCCCCCGAGGACCGACTTTGGAGATGCCTGGTTTAACAGTAGGATGGCAGTGAGGGAAAAGCTGTTACAGAACCTGCTGGTCCTGCATCGGATGCTTCAAAGCCTCTTCCCAGAGGGCAGCAGGGAGAACAGTCCATGGTGGGGCTGTGAGGGGTGACTGATGTTACGGGCTCTGGACCAGCAGCGCTGAGATGAAATGTCTTTAATGGAGGGAAGAGGATCCCCGATGATCTTCCCTGCTGTTCTCACCACTCTTCTCACCTTCTTCCAGTCTGAGGCGCTGCAGCCTCCACACCACACAGTGAGACAGCTGGTCAGAATGGTCAGACTTCCTTACTCTATGGTGCTTCTACAGAAGCACCATAGAGTAAGGAAGTCTAGCAGCCAGTTGCAGAGGGGTGTATTGAAGCCCAGCTGTTCCAGTTTTCCTATCAGATGCTGTGGGATGATTTTGTTGAAAGCTGAAATGAAGTCCAGCAAGACGAGCCGCACGGGGTTTCTTTCTCCTACAGGTGTGCTAGGCTCAGGGGAAGAGCAGAGGAGATGGCGTCCTCAGTGGAGCGGGTTTCCATCGTTAGGCAAACGGGAACGTTTTTGAGGAATTTGAAGCCAAATCATGACCTTAGACTTGTCCATCAGAGAAAATCTCTTCAGCCTTGACTGATCTGCAGCGATATGCTTACATGCAAATAACTGGGTTTCTGATTCTGATAAATCAATCAGGATATCCGCAGATCATGATACTCTCAGGACAGAAGAGCTCTGTTTGCTTTAATGATATCTGTTTATTGTTTTAAATGTTAAAGTGACTCCCCTCCAAAAGACTGTACATGTATAAATGTATAAATAAAGGCAACATTTAAGGTCAAAGGAAGTCATACAATCAGTAAATCATCTTAACAGGACAAATTCCATTCTGAAACCAAATCTGCAACTGTTAGGGTTCAATTTGAGTCTATTTGTTAAATTAAAAACAGATGCTTTTAAAGTGGTTAAACTTCCTGCTATTCAAGAGATTTTTAACCTTATTTCAATTTATTAGTGAATTAGACAGATAAGGAATTTTCTTTGATATCCAGACAGATATCGATCTTATAATCGGATAAGCGCATCTGTATTCGTTAACTTTTCATTCTATAAATCTTTTCTTTTTGTATTTGTTTATGCCTCAAATGAACTAGTGCTGTTTTTATTTTTGTTTGACTCTAAATAAAAAACAATTTCAGAAACTAAATCTAGTTTTAAACAGCACTTTAAAAAGGATATTTAATTAGGGATGTAAAAAAAAGAAATGTCAAATTAAAATTAACTGCTAATTGGTGGTTTATAAGATTGAAATATTTTCCATCTGAATAATTAAAAAATTTGGCTTAGAAAGAATTTCTTTCACTGCTGCAGTGTTACCTCTGTCTTTTAGAGAGTAAGAATGAACAGTGGCCTTCATTCTTAAGTGGGAGCTTACTGGTATTTGCTGTAAGTAATGTCAAAACAGAGGCATGCTAGTGTCACAGGCTCTGTCCAAATGTCCGCCCTAATATATATATAGGGCACTATATAGTGGTTACGCCATTTTAAATGTGTCCGAAAGTCTAGTGGAGGAAAAAGTAATAGAGTCGAAATTTCCCATAATGCACCTTGAAAAGTAGTGATCATCCATGGGAACTAGATGAGCAGATTTATTCAAGAATACTTTGCTAGGAGATCTCTCCTTGCAAAGCATTATGGGATTTGTTGTCAAAGCGGAAAGTTGACGCATAAGCTGTGCCACTACCCAGTCTGTCCAGGAAGCATGATCCGTACATCAGGTCATTTGTGCATGCGCAACCAGATATACATCTGGGTCGCCCTTGATTTTACTTTGTAAAAAAAGACTTAAAGGTGCAGTAGGAGAAGTTTTAAGGCATTTTTTTTACCAGTTCCCTATTTTTTTTACCATTTGTTCCCTACTCCTAAGTCCACAATAGTGGACTTAGGAGTAGGGAACAAAAAAAAATATGAATTTAGTTCAGTAGCTGTTAAAATATATATGTTATTTGTGTTTTTATAGTTTTCTTTTTATATGGAACATTTTTCAAAATTGTAAACATTTCTACTGGGCCAGAAAGTAATGGTTTATGTTAAAATGAACATTTGGGTAAATTTGTTGCTACCCAGTTTTTATTGGGAAGTTGGTCTTAACTTTTTATTTCAAGTGACATTAAAAATTATTAGAAAGTCTTTAATCTCACTTACCTTATCCTGTAAGAACCCTAAGCAAAACAATAAATCATAACTATTTCTGAATATCACTAAAGTCTAACCTTAAATAAACCCTTCTTGTTAATGTAGGCATCACTTTACAATGAAAAGTTTTTTTTTTTAGATCATCCTGTTGAAATAAAAAAAAAAATAACCAAATTGTATTAACTCTCATTTTCCATAAAAAACTAAATAGATCCCAGGCTATTTTTCTGTACAGGGGGCACTTTATAACACTTGGAATTTAACGAAAGCTTTATCTCAGCAAGTCTCTCAGTCAAAACAAAATAATCCATTCATACATCCCATAATTTCACAGGATGCCTCCCTGTCAGTGGTGACAAGTTTTGCTCATACTCTTAAGCTTTGCGACCAGCTGTTGCTTAACTAGGGCCAAACTTTCTAGATGGTCTGCACGCATGAATCTTTTTTCTCAGCTATCAGATACATTTGAGGGTGCAGGTAATTCAAAATTGGAGGTTTAGGCACTAATTTTGTAGCTAAAACCTACTTTGTTGAAGCTTAGCAGCTGGGCAGCACAGCCTGCAGCTGCAGAGCTCAGCTGTTTGTGGTGGACGCCATCGCTCATACAGCCGATATGCTGCAGCTCTTTATGTTTGGCTCGAATCGCTGGTCACGTAACCACTGAGTGCAGCAAAATACCGGATATGTGTTCAAATGTCATATTACTGTCATTGAATCAAATTCGTAAATTTTTACAGTCAGTCGATAATATTGATCAATTTCAGATTCATTCACTAATCCATAACTTACATCCCTAACTTTAATATTAAGTTAGTGATTAAGAAAAGTATAAAGATTTAACTAACTTTTCTGGAATGGCTCTGTTTCTAAACATTTCAGGAGACACTTTAATATCACAACCAGAAACCTGATAAAGAAAGGATGGTTACTCTTTTACTTAAACAGTTATTATATGCTGAAATATGCTGAAATATTATATTTGTATGTTATGTAGAAACATTAATATACAAGAACAATTTACATTATTAACAAATTCTTTTATAAATCCAAAGCGGTGAGTCATTCGTTTCTCCTTTTGTCAGCAGTACAGCATCCAAAGAAAGCTGGAATTTGGTCATTTGGCATCATGTTGTTTTAAGCAGAACCAAAATAAATAAAATGAGAGTCTAAATAGGAAGGCAGTTGC